ACATTCTCTTATACCAAAGTCTAATACAGAGCAAGGCCCCAATTCTCTTCAATTTGAAACTAGCAGTAGTTGGTTCGTGAGGTTTAAGGAAAGAAGCCATCAAGGTGAAGCAGTGAGCTCCGATGTACAAACTGCAGCAACTTACCCAGGAGACCCCTAGCTTAGATAACTGATGAAGGTGGATTTCCTAAACAACAGGTCTTTACTGTAGATCAAACAGCCTCATATTCAAAGAAAATGCCATCTAGGGTTTTCATAGATGGAGAGGAGAAGTCAATGACTGGCTTCAAAGAACAGGCTGCCTCTTATGTTAGAGGCTAATGCAGCTAGTGACATTAGGTTGAAGCCAGTCGTCATTTACTAATTTACAAATCCTAGGGTCCTTAAGAATCACACTAACACCACTCTGCCTGTGTTCTATAAATGAACACCAAAGCCTAGATGATAGCACATCTGTTTACAACAAGGCCTACAGAAATTTTTTTTAATCTTTTTTTTTTATTTTTATGTGGTGCTGAGGATCGAACCCAGCGCCCCATGCATGCCAGGCGAGCAAGTACACTACTGCTTGAGCCACATCCCCAGCCCCATACTGAATTTTTTTTTTAAGAGAGAGTGAGAGAGGAGAGAGAGAGAGAGAGAGAGAGAGAGAGAGAGAGAGAGAGARTGAATTTTTAATATTTATTTTTTAGTTCTCGGCGGACACAACATCTTTGTTGGTATGTGGTGCTGAGGATCGAACCCGGGCCGCACGCATGCCAAGCGAGCAAGTACACTACTGCTTGAGCCACATCCCCAGCCCCATACTGAATTTTTTTTAATATTAATTTTTTAGTTATAGGTGGACACAATATCTTTATTTTTAATTTTTATGTGGTGCTGAGGATTGAACCCAGAGCCTCATGCATGCGAGGCAAGCGCTCTTCCTCTGAGCCCCAATCCCAGCCCTGAGGCCTACTGAATATTTTAAGCCCACTGTTCAGACTTCCTACTCAGGAAGAAAAAAAAGATACCTTTMAAAATATTACTGGTCACTGACAATGTACCTGGTCAACCTAGAGGACCAATGGAGCTGTATATAAGATTAATGTTTTCATGCCTGCTAAGACAATATCAATGCTGCAGCCCATGGATAAAGGAGTAATTTCAACTTTCACATCTTATCATTTAAGAACTACATTGCTCAATGTACTTGCCATATGTAGTGACTTCTCTGAAGGATGTGGGCAAAGTATATTGAATATCTTCTGGAAAAGATTTATCATTATAGATGTCATTAAGAACATTCATGATTTATGGGAAGAGATCAAAATATTAACATATACAGACCTTTAGTGAAGCTGGATGACTTTAAGGGATTCAAGACTTCAGTGAAGGAAGTAAATACAGATGTGGTGGAAAGATAATGGAACTAGAATTAGAAATGGAATCTAAAGATGGTGACTGAATTGACGCCATTTCTTAATTTTTTTTTTTTTTTTTGTATTACAGATTGAACCCATGGGACACTTTACCACTAAGCTACAACCCTCTCCTCTTTTTTTATTTTGAAACAATGTCTCACTAAGTTGCGAAGGCTGACCTCAAACCTGCAATCCTCCTGCCTTGGCGTGATGACAAAACTTTAATGGATGAGGAGCTGTTCCTTATGATTGAGCAAAGAAAGTGGTTTTTTTGTGATGGAACCTTCAATGGGGAAGAAGCTGTGAACATAGTTGAAATGGCAACGAAGGATTCAGAGTATTACATAAACCTAGYTGATAAAGCAGTGGCAGAGTTTGAGAAGATTCAGTTCAATTATGAAAGTTCTACTATGTATGTAAAATGCTATCAAATAGTATCACATAGTTCACAGAAATTTTTGGTGAAAGAACTGCCAAATGATGCAGCAGTCTTCTTTGTCTTATTTTAAGAAGCTGCCACAGCTACCTCAACTCTCAATGACCACCAACCTGGATCAATCAGAAGCCACCATGTAGCTGAAGGCTCAGATGATTGTTGGCATTTTTTTTTAAGCAATAACATAGTTTTAAATTAAGGTATGAAAATTCTTTTAGACATAATGCTGCTGCACACTTAACAGACTACAGTATAGTATAAACCAATTTTTGTATGTACTAGGAAAGCAAAAATTTCACACCTTGCTTTATTGCAATATTTGTTTCACTGTTGTGGTCTCGAACAGAAACTACACTATCTCTGAGCTATGCCTGTACATCTTCAGTCTCAAAGTTCTTTTTTTTGGGGGGGGGGTACTGGGAATTGAACTCAGGGGCTCTCAACCACTGAGCCACATCCCAATCCTATTTTGTGTTTTATTTAGACACAGGGTTTCATAGAGTTGCTTAGCATCTTGCTTTTGCTGCAGCTGGCTTTGAACTCGMGATCCCCCTGCTTCAGCCTCCCGAGCCTCGGGGATTACAGGTATGCCTCACGGCGCCCGGCCTCAAAGTTCTTTAAACTTGTTGATAATGTCCCAAAAGGGAAAGAACTGAGACCCCTGCTGATATGACTGGCACTCCTGTGAGGCCGCTGGACTTCCATAATTTGCCATGCTTCCTTCTCTGGTGGCAGAGTCTCAGTGCCTGCTTCAAATGTAACAGAGACTGAGCTCTGTGAGGGCACAAGCTTTCATTATTCATCTCTGGATACARATACCTCAAGCAGCTGGCATTTAACAAACATATTTTTATTAAATGAATAATGTTACCACCCTAAATGAAATCAAGCAGAAGAGAACCCAGGTCATCTGATCATATTGAAACACTGTATACACAGGTACCATGGTACTTTCTCGGCTCCATATTTACACTGCTTTACTCTTAGCCCCATCTATGAGAAGCCTTAATGGCTAAAAATGTGATATTGAAAATGCCAATAACAGAGAAAAGAAGGATAGTAGAAAGACCTGAAATAAGAGAATTCTGAAAATGTAATCTACTCTAAAGAGAGTCCCTTGTTGATTGGGCTTAGTAATCTGTAAGACTGCTATGCTAGGAAGCCTACCAAACTAAAATAAGACAATGATTAGATTCCTCTATTATTAGATTTCCTATTCAAAAAAGAAGAGAGACTGGAATATACTGCTAAAAAAGGAAAAAAAAATAATTGTTAAGAACGCATGCAAATCTTTTTGATATTAAAATTAAAAGCTCTATCAACATGTAATACCAAGACATGAAAAGATGCTTAAGATCTATTAAGGGAAAAAAGAGTAAGTTAAACATAATATGCAGGTTTTGGGTTTTGCTTTAAAAAAATGTTAGCGGGCTGGGGATGTGGCTCAAGCGGTAGCACGCTCGCCTGGCATGCGTGCGGYCCGGGTTCGATCCTCAGCACCACATACCAATAAAGATGTTGTGTCCGCCGAGAACTAAAAAATAAATATTAAAAATTCTCTCTCTCTCTCTCCTCTCTCACTCTCTCTTTAAAAAAAAAAATGTTAGCATGTGCACAGAAAATATCTGAGGAAATATAATCTAAGTATTAACAGTAATTAACTCTTGGGGGTAAAATTCTAAAATTATGGCACAGTTTATAATCTTTACTGATTATGGGGGAGAGCACTTTCTATAATTTTTATTTTAGTAATGTTTATATTTTTAAGTGAATATATATTACCTTTGTAATAAAAAGTGTACAAATAAAACTGAAAAATTCTTTTATATCTTTAATAAAAAAAAAAATCAGAGCAGTGTTACCAGTGATCAAAAAGGGTGTTGTGAAACCACCTTCTATGGGACACTAAGGCTCCTCTCAAAGGGTCTCTGAGAACCAGAACAGCACATGAGGGCAGAGAGATCTGCAAATATATCCCCACTAAACTCCTGAGCTTGAGCATTTGAATTTTAATATTTTATACTTAAGTTCTGTTGCCAATGAGTGTCTGAAAACTTCTAATCTAAAATATGTGTAAATAACTATTTCTGAATGTCCCTCAGCCTTTCCTGGGGTCTGTGCAGGTTCCCCAGAAATGGCAATATGCTTTCTCTCATATTTCCTGAGCATGACATTTTGGTAGCTAGCTTCTTTAAGCATGAAGTCTGCTACATTTATGAGCTTCCTGAGTACAAGGCCGAGTGCTCTATGTGTAAGGTTCCTCTGCTCAAGAAGGCTAAAGGAGCAGGAAGCCTTCATTCCCTACCATGTGGCTAACCTCTCTCAATCATGGTCTGTTGCCATCCAGAAGCTGGACATTGGAGGTCACCAGAGACTATTTTTTACCATGAATGGGAAGTCAATTAGAAATAGTTGAATGACTTTAAAATAACTTTCTTGAAAGGGGATGCTTTTCTTTCTTTGCAAAATTCTTCTTTCTCATCACTGGTCTTTTTTTCTAAAAGGCTATAGTGAGTGGCTAWAAGTCCTTTGCTTTGTTGTTGTTGTTGGGTTTTAGAGGGTTCTCATAGATTTTTAAGGTTAGTTGTATTATTCTAGTCTCATCAGTTTAAGAGAAACTTGGAATTTCAGAAAATATAAATGAAGGGTTTTAMTAAGTGAACTAAATGTCTGCATCCGCTAGAGCATGATTTTTGGAAATCTGAATTTGTTTGGCTACATATTATCTCTAATAATCATGGAAGGTTTTTGAAATTAAATTTCTTTTTTGTTTTGTTTATTCTTCCTGACTCTCACAGTCATATCCTCATCTGGATTCTTATTGGGCCGAAACTAATATGGCGTTTTCTGTTTACTACTTTTAGGCTCCACTGCTTCAGCAAGGAAGCACATCTGTGAACTTCTGCATCAGAACCAGCAGGGGGAGCTCACTCACACAAGAATCTGAAGCCCTTTATAAAGGGATGGTGAGAAAAGCAATTCAACTTGCTTCAGTAAGAATGGGCTTTTTGCATGTTGGAAGGATTATATAATAAGCAACAGGTTATCAACAGTGGTGCTGAGATGAAGAGCCCTTGACAAGGTGTATTAAGAGACAGCCCAGCAGCCAGTGCCTCAAGGGCAACACTACCACCCACGGCAGGTGCATATCCTTCCCGTACCTGTTTTTCAAGGCTTGGCTTGCTAAGCTGTACAGTTTGAGGTCCAGCGAGTCTGGTCCCTGGAGTAGCTATCACAATGCTGGTGAGCTGGGCCATGGGGAACGTTTTGGCTATGGTTGCGGTCTGCCCATTGACAACACGGACAGGGTGAATGGAGTTCTGGGATGTGGGGAGGGTTGTCGGGGTAAACTTGGTCAGCATGACAGGCCTCTGGATAAGTTGAGGAGCTGCAAGCATGGGAGGAGGTGCTGGGGCGATAGGAATGTTATTCTGAGCCACAGGCTTGGGTCGAACCTATGGGGGAAAGAGAGAATAATTACTGTATTATTTAAAGATACTTCTCAAGTTGTATAAATCTAAAACATAAAATCTTCTACACTATGTATGTGAAATGGTACTTCATACAATACTTATTAATATTTATTTTCTTATTTTAATTCTTCAGATCTTAGGACAAAATCTTACAAAAGGCCTATTGGCTCACAACAGGACCCAAATGCTACCCTGGAATGTAGTAATTATGGTTCAACTCTCAGCTCCTTCTTGTAWAGCATGCTGCTTCTTCAGACAGAGGTCAAAGGCCTGATCCAGAGAAGAGTCCCACACAGAACTTGTGCCAGTATAGCAATAGTATTGCTAATAGCCTTAATTCACATTCTGAATTTCTTCACATTGATTGGTTAAGTAAACCTCCACTTCTGGCCCTCTAATTCCCTGTTCTTGGCTACTTCTGTCCCATCTTAAATGCAAATATTTCTCAGGATTTTGTTCTGGAACCCCTCTTGTTTCCCAATGGCCTCATTCTTCCTAAGACTTTAGTTACCATCTGTGTATTAAAGACTTTCACAGTCTTCTGGTCTCAGAACCAGAAATATTTCCTAAACTTCAGAATCATATTCAACTCCCTATTAGATAACTCTACTAAGTAAATGGCCTTTTCTTGATAAATAAACTTTGGCATCGGGGCTGCAGTTGTAACTCAGTGCACTTGCCTAGCATGTGTGAGGCACCGGGTTCAGTCCTCAGCACCACATTAAAATAAAGATACTGTGTCCATGTAAAACTAAACAAAAACAAATAAATAAAAAAAAAAAACTTTAGAATCATTCTTGACACTTCCTACTTCAACTCTACTACCTAAATACTTTCAAATTTGTCTACTTCTTTCTATCCTCACTGCAACAACAGTAGTTTATGTTTGCACTACAGAAACCGATTAAAAAAAAATATGTATTTAAGCTGGGCACAATGGTGCAGGCGTATAATCTCAGTGGCTCAGCAGGCTGAGGCAAGAGGATCCTTAAGTTCAAAACYAACCTCAGCAAGATCCTAAGCAACTTAGTAAGACCCTGTCTCAAAAAAAAAAAAAAAAAAAAAAAAAAGCTAAAAAATATGGAGTCAACCTTACCTAGGTTCAAATCCTGGTTCTAACACTCATAAGCTCTGTAACCTCAGACAACATATCTGGTATTTCTAAACCAGTTATATTTCCCACTTTTAAAACTGTGATCAGAAAGTAAAATCCTTTTCTTTTATGCATCAGAGTTTGGTTCACAGTTAATTCTATCTAGTTCTGTACCTCCAGAAACCCAATAAGAGTAAGAATACAACTATGTTACCAGGCATGCATGATAAAAAAAAGCATTTATTACTGAATCAATAAGGGATAATTAAATTGGACATGGATGGGGAGAATTATATTCAACAGGACACCATGCTTTGGGCTCTCCTAACTGGGTGACTCTCATTAACTTGGACATACCCATTGTGAGGCTCTCGAATGACATGCCAATGGAACTGTAACAAGATACATTGGTTCCTGTGGCACATAAGGCTTCCTGGATAAAGACCTCATTTTCTTAAACCTGAACAATCCCTAGATAGCTACAGGAACTTCTATACAGTTGCTGTAGGCACTCCCATTGAAGACAAATGTCTAATGCTGTCTTTTTGGCAAGTGGTTTTTTCTATCCTGTATCATTTGAAGTATACTACTGTTAAGTGTGGCCCATGATAATCTTGTCTGTCTAAATAAAAGTTTAGCTTAACTTAAAATAACCCTGAGGTGGGTACCACTGACTTACCTTAGGAAATACATTTTAAAGTACACACATAAATATCCGTATATATATAAAACAAAAACTTCATGAAATAAAGTATATAGCATGGGCTATCAACCCACTAAATAGGTTTCACTAATGAGTTATGACCCAATGTTTGAAAAACATAGACTAAGCCTTAGACTGCCTACCTAAAAAAAGGAGTAATACTCATATTCACAGGGTTCTTGTGAAGAATAAAATAGACAACCCACATAAAGTGCTTAACATAGAACCTCATATATAACAAAATCCTCTATAATCATTAACTATCATCATTACTGAATTTCCTATCTGTTCTTATCCACAGTTTTAATCATTGCTAATTCATTCTCTAAATAGTGGCAAGAAGAAATTTTCTTCTTATTTTTTTGGATACTTTTTTAGTTGTAGATGAGCACAATACCTTTACTTACTTACTTACTTACTTACTTATTTGTTTATGAGTACTAGGATTGAACTCAGTGGCACTCAACCACTGAGCCACATCCCCAGCCCTATTTTGTATTTTATTTAGAGACAGGGTCTCACTGAGTAGTGCCTCGCCATTGCTGAGGCTGGCTTTGAACCCATGATCCTCCTATCTCAGCCTCCCCAGCCACTGAGATTACAGGCGTATACCACCACGACTGGCTCACAATATCTTCATTTATTTTTATGTGGTGCTGATGATCGAACCCAGTGCCTCACATGTGCTAGGCAAGTGCTCTACCACTGAGCCACAACCCCAGCCTCAAGAGGGAGTTTTCTAAAACATAAAGTTTGATCACATCAAGGCCAGCTTGGGCCACTTAGTGAGGCCCTGCCTCAAAATAAAATAAAAAAGGCTAGGGAAGTTGCTTGAAAAATTCTTTGATGGATCCCAGCTGCCCCTAGAATAAGGCCCAGATTCCTACACAACCTAGAAGGATCCACAGGCTCTGGCCCCAGTGGACTGCTCTAGTCTCATCTCTGGTGTAGATCAGCCCCACTGCCCACTGTGCTCAGCTACAGCAAAGTTCCTTCGGTCCCCTGAAGCTACATGCACCTCTACACTTCAGATGCGTGTATACTCTGTCCTCTCCCTGGGACATTTTTATTTTTCCCCCAAATTTTGTCAAGCTTAACTTTACTAGGATTCTAGGTCTCAGGTTGAATATAAATTCTTCGAGGAAACCTTAAAGAAACTTTCTCTACTGCTCTTGAGAATGGGCTGGGTGTTCCTCCCACATACTCTCAGTCTACTCTATACTTCTCGTAACAGACACTGTAATTGCCTGTAAATGTCTCTGAAGCTCTTTAAGAGCAGAGAACCTTCTGTCTTGAAAACTGGCATATCTATAGCGCTTAGTACAGTGTTTGCTACCCAAGATATTTATTAAATATTTATCTGATAAATGGCTGAAAWCATCTTATCTCATGTTAGCACTGTCCAATCTCTCTCAAGAGACTATTTGTAAATCACTTATGCCACTGATCACAAAATTCCTTTCTTCCTTTTTAGTTTTTAGTACTCAGGATTGAACCTAGGGCCAGGCAAATGCTAGGTAAGCACTCTATTACTAAGCTACATCCCCAGCCCTTTTGATTTTATTTTGAGATAGGTTCTCACCACGTTGCCCAGGCTAGCCTTGAATTTGCAATCCTCTCGCTTCAGCCTCCTGAGTAACTGGGATTACAGGTGTGTACCAGAGCATCAGGTTACATAACTCCTTTCTTTTCTCTCTTAGCCTGAAAGKTAGGTCCTCAGTTTTACCCTTTCTATTGGGCAAGTCAATGTCCTCAAGAGTCAGATACATAATCCTGACACTCTGCCTTGAAAATGGTGATGGGCAGTCAAATTGCTAAAAGAACACTCAGGAAAAATATGAGCAAGCAGAGCTRTGTGAGCCTGAGTAGAAAGTACCCTAGGCATACCCCTTCCTACATCTTATAATAAAACTTGGCCTTTAAGTATGATATGCAATATCATCACTTGTAGAGTAGAACTGAATGGTTTCCACTGGTTAGTTTGGCTGTCCTTCCCACTTTCATTTGCAAAAGGAAAACAAAAGTGGTAACTGTATTCTTTCTTCACCGCCAGGCAGGTTTTAGCTAAATTATAAGGTTTACAACGGTGTTATTTGTTTATTTCTTATTTTGCTGGGGACTGAATCCAGGGCCTTGTGCATGCTGGGTAAGTACTCTAGCACTGAGCTAGCCCCCATTCCCTAGCCTAATGATGTAATTTTTTTTAAATGGACACAGTACCTTAATTTTGTTTATTTATTTTTATGAGGTGCTGAGAATTAAACTCAGTGTCTCACACATGCTAGGCAAGTGCTCTACCACTGAGCCACAACTCCAGCCCTAATGATTGTAATCTTAATTGTTTTGAATTTAGGAAAATTTCCTTTTCCTTCACTTCTCTCTTCTACTGCATATGGTCACTGCTAATAAACCATGATAAAAAAAAAATAAGATTCCTCCTGGTAGAGAAACTGGCAGAATTTTTTGCTAAGTGGGATCTGAATGCAGCTGAATTGGTAAGCCTGCTTACAGGCTGCTTAGAAAAGGCCCATGAGGGCAAATGAATTAAACAGACACTTCTCAAAAAGAAGAAATACAAATGGTCAAAAAATATGAAAAAATGTTCAACATCATTGGCAACTAGGGAAATGAAAATCGAAACTACACTGAGATTTCATCTCACACTGGTAAGAATGGCAGTCATCAAGAATACAATCTATAATAAATGCTGGAAAGGATGTGGGGGAAAAAGGGGACATTTTTACACTGTTGGTGGGACTGTAAACTAGTATACCCACAAAACAGTATGGAGACTCGACTAGGCATGGAATCATCATATGACTCAGCTATACCACTCCTTGGTATTTAACCTAAAGAATAAAGTCATCATACTATAGTGATACATGCATACCTATGTTTATAGCAGCACAACTCACAATTGCCAAACTACGAAACCAGTCAAGGAGTCCATCAACAGATGAATGGATAAAGAAAATATGGTGTACACACTGGAGTTTTATCCAGCCATAAAGAAAAATAAAATTATGTCATTTGTAAGAAAATGGATGAAACTAGAGACCATTATGTTAAGTGAAATATGGTCAAACTTAGAAAGTCAACAGTCATTATGTTTTCTCTGATAAAGTGGAGGGGGTGGCTTCTCATAAAAATCAAAGGGAGATCAGTAGAGTAGAGGAAAGGGATCTGGGGAGGGAGGGGAGAAATGGTATAGAGTGATTTTAGTCAAATTATATTGTTATATTGAGTGCACGTACAAATATTTAACAACAAATCTCATCATTATATACAACTATTATACGCCAATAAAAAATGTAGAGAAAAAGGAAAGAAAAAAAAAGTTGCATTAGGACTTGTGTCCTACCTAACCCATTAGCAGCTTCTCACTGGCTTACTCACCTGTGGGAGAAAGTTTGGACGTGGAGTGAGTCTGGGAGGAGGGATAAACTGCGGTACTTTGATGGGCTGAGGAGGTGTTGCTTGAACCTGCTAAAAAAACGGGAAAGACAAATGAATCAGAAGGAAAAATCATAATTCAATATCAAAGAGAGACATTCTTCTCTGGATTAGACAACATTTTCTACGAGCTTTCACTGTAAAGTTAACCATTTGAATTAACACTGCATCGGGAGACTTTTCTCTCTCCCACCTGCACATTTTATGCCATAACATGAATACACCTCTGTTTCCTCACAGCTCAAGTGGAACAGAGTAAGCTCACCATTCTTACATGACTTCCTCTGACACTCAAGAACTCTTGCACTTTCATATTTTAAAAGTTAAGACTGTATCCAAAGTAAAATCAAACTTGTGGACTGGCCAAATGGGCTTTTTCCTGATGGAAGAGCCGTATCCAACAGTGAACACTAAGTGGCTTTATTCCTATAGAGGATTTCTTAACTCTCAGCATCTAACTAAGTGAGCTGGTTGCTTCTCTAGGGATTCCTGGGTAAATGGCAAAGCTCCACTTTGTTGTTCTCTAGTTTCACTAGTCATTGGTCATTCTTCAAAAGCCACCAAGAGCTCATAATTGCCATCTTAAGGAAAGAATTTTGTCAAAATTTGGATATAGTTCCTCCAAGTTTCTGAAAATATTAGTTTCTAAATGGTTTAATCCTAAAAACCTCATGAACAATTCCTGTTCAAGTACTTCCTTAAAGGGATCCCACTCAACCCCCACCACAGAACTTGGCTACTCATGTTAATTTGTGAATATCCTGAATATTTTATAAACAAGAGAGTTTAAATACTCAAGTTGCACAGGAAAGACAGTGGATAGAATGGAGGAACAGATAAATGAAACAGCATATATGCCTTCATGAAGGAAACTTTTCCCTGAAAATCAGGTCATACTTTGACTACAGATAATGTGCTTAATTTGGTCCTTGGTGTCAAGACACCTCTACAGTTAACTGAAAAAAACTGTGGGAATGCTATATTGTCCCATCAGGTTCAAAGGGGAATCTGGCACGCCAGAGGAATTGGAGCTCCAGCAGGAGCTAAAATGGATTACTCTACAAATACGTATCCTGAACCCTCTTAACATGGGTACATGAGTAGCAGCTGCTGGCTTACCAGAGTGACTGTGTTTTTTGCCACAATTTGGACAGCCTCTGCCCCAGGCCCAGTGACCTTACTAGACGTCTGGAGGTTGACTGGTGTGTTCTGCACATCAGTGCTGAGCACAGCCTTCTGACTGTTGATGGCGGTCACCATAGCAATGGTAGGTCTCTGGCCCACAACAGAGGCAGGCATGGTCGCAGTTGCTGCTTTCAAGACGAGAGGTAGTGTCTTTGTGGTAATCATAGAAGCTGTAGTTACAGTCTTCTAGGAGACATGGAAAACAGATATTAGGACACGGCAATGTGATCCAACTAAACAATATGCTACTGAACTCYGGAAGAAAATAAAGCAATAATTCTCATACTTAATCAAGTTTCTAGTATCACAACATTTCTCTTGTGTACATAGAGTACACAGATCACTACAGGGAAAGAATTCTTCAGCTTGCTGGAATTCACAAATTAGTGTTATCTGTAAATGGGCAAGCTCACTCTAATAACTGTAGACTAATATGGCAGAGAAGGTTTCTGGACACAGAATATGAGTGTACTTATTTCTTCTAGTCTAATTCTTTGGTCGAAATCAATGAATTTACATATAGGATGCAAATAATGGGAAACATATCCTCTCTATCCCTAACTGCTATAATCTTACCAATATGAAGAAAGTCATCATATAATTCTGGCTTTCTGTCCCTTGTGACACAAAGGCTGGGGGAAAGAGAGAGTGTCTTGTCTTTCTTTTTTGAGTGTCACCCAGGAGAGGCAGAAAATCCCAAATTCCACATAATGAAACATTAACCAACTAGTATAGGAAATACTAATTCTTGATACCAAAGGGATATGAGTCCCTACCTATAATCTTTTCTCCAGAGAACTGCTACAAAAGTGATCAAAGATTCACTGAAATGTGACAAGGCCGAAACAAACACCTGAGTTTCAAAAAGCCTTCGAGATCAGAGGATGAGCTGAAGTGAGAGGACTTGACTGATGCTCCGTAAGTGCTATTGCAGCTTTGAAGCTAGATTTTTCTAGATTTTTTACTAGTATAATTACAAGTGTCAGTTACAAAACAAGAAAACAGAAACATGCTCATTACACGGCACACGTCTATCTTGTGCTACTAGTCACTTGAGATGCAGACATTTCAGGAACATGAAAATGTATCTGGTCCAACTTGCTGGTTCTGATATTATTCTACCATTTCTTCTTACTCTCCATTTGTACACTTTGGTAGCTACAGGCCACATGTTGATATTAAATTTAAATTAAAACTAAAACATCAATTCCTCATTTGCACTAGCCAATTTTCAAGTGTTCAAAAGCCACATGTGGCTAGTAGCTACCAAGGTGAACAGTGGGGACAGACAGTATTTCCAAAACTGCAGAAAGTTGTGTTGGATGGTACTGCTCTGGACCAGGGATAAGTACTCTTACTCTCCCTGAAACATGCTCAGACAACTTCCCTTTTTATGAAATTCTATTTCCGTGTCTATATAAGTACCTGTGTATTATTATTGTTTGGTTGTAGGTGATTATTTCTCTTTCTGGCATAATGCATATGTTTCTTTTTTTCTTTTAACCAAAAAAATTTAATGATCTGGCCTTCTCTATCCCATATAGCTTAGTCAGCAATTCTCATTAACTCTCTCTCTCTCTCTTTTTTTTTTTGTTTCTCATTAACTCTTATAATTAAAATCACCTGAGTCTTTGTTTCTACTTCTCCAAGGCAATAACAAGAGTGCCTCAACTCTTAGTGTCACTGTCTGCTCGAATGTGAAATAAAGAGTATTTGGGGGTAGCAGGTCATTACTTCCTATCAGTGATGAAAATCAAATTAAAGCTGGATGCCATGGATCATTAGAAATGTTACAGTAGCATGTCATCAACAACTGATCAGCTTTTGTTGATTTAAAAAAATATTTATTTTTTAGTTGTAGGTGGATACAATATCTTTATTTCATTTTTAAGTGGTACTGAGGATTGAACCCAGTGCCTCACATGTGCTAGGTGAGCACTCTACCACTGAGCCACAACCCCAGCCCCAATACCAGCTATCTGTAATAAGAGTTTTAAACAGTGCAATTTTAGCACTACCTGTCAATTTCAAATGTTTAAATACAAAGAATTTTTGAAGTGGAGAGCAAGTCACACCAAATGCCATTCAATCCTACTGCTACTATGGGTTGTGGAAACAGCTCTGGACAGCAGAACCTGACATGGCTTTTAAAAACAGTTGGCAAACTGTCACTGTAAGAGTTCGAAGTACATTTTTTTTTTTTTTGGACACACTCTTGGTTCAGGTAAATCATTATCAACATTTTGAATAATAGCCCTAAACTGATTACTCTAGAAAATACTTAATAAAACCACAAACCTTCCTGACTATGTACACACCTCCCATTAACTCAATGCTTAAATAATACTGAAATCTAATGAGTGTGTTCACATCTTTGCTTTATAAATATTTGGTTGTGCCTGATTTCACTACACGTATTTCAGTGTCTATAAAATTCCATATATTCTATGCCTCAATGAAAATATCTAAAAGTATATAATAGCTAACCATTTATTGACACCAACACATAGGTCTCCTGAGATTTTTTAYTCTTGGCCTGGTGGTTACTCTAGCTCAAATATTAGGGAACAGAAAACTAGCTCTTCATTAGGATTAGATAGAAAGAGAATCTGTAACTTTGAAATCCAAGCCTAATGAAAACATCTGAACTGTTTTGGCAAGAGGAGAAAATGCAAAGCAAAAAAGTGTCTGATAACAAAGAAATTGATTTTTTAAGGAAGCTGTGATTAGTCCTTGGCTAGCTAATGCTGTCCATATCTGATCATTTTCATGAGGGTAGTAGTTACTGAACAGTTTTCATAAAGAGTTTTTAAATTTTGAGAAAACCCCAAATTGCATGAGCCAGAAGTTAATGCAGAAAAACAGGGTAATTAACACCAACAACAAAATCCCTTTTGTTTATTTATTTTGCTAAGTTATTGTTATTTACTTGCAAAATATGAAGTACTGATTAAAAACTCCAAAGTATGCATCAGAACTTAGAGAAATTATTACTATGGGTTTTTAGTAACCTTCATAACTACTTTAGATAGTTTGCTTAATTTTGAGTGGAAATTCACTGTTGTGCACCCAAACAGCCACAGAAAGGAACCTCCTTCTCCTTTGTAAGTGTTTACATTCTGTTTCATTGTATTAACTACATTCTTCTTTACATTGTTTTGTATTATTAAAAATGMAAGTATTGTGAATGTAGGACAAAGGGCATACCTGTATTCAAGTATTCTATTCTTTTTCTGTATATGGGAAAAAATTTCAAAACTTATGAGTTGGAGTTAACTACATAAAAGGAACTGGTCCTACTTCTTCCTGCAACAAGATTTCCTCATTGCTTCCTTTATGCCTTGGTACATGATCATCACTTGGCTTAGAAAAAAAATACCTCCTAACAGACAATAAAAAACCTTCTCCTGGTGGCTGGACACAGTGGCGCACACCTGTAATCCCAGTAGCTTGGGAGACCTAGACAGGACGAGCACAAGTTCAAAGCCAGCCTCAGCAACATGAGGAGCTAAGCAACTCAGTGAGACCCTGTCTCTAAATAAAATACAAAATAGGGCTGGGGATGTGGTTCAGTGGTTGAGTGCCCCTGGTTTCAATSCCCAGTACCCGTCCCCCCTCAAAAAAAAAAAAAAATCTTCTCCTGGTGCAGTGCAGTGGTGCACTCTGGTTAGCTAATCAGAAGGCTGAGGCAGGAGAGCAGCAAATTCCAAGCTAGCCTAAGCAAGGGAGACTTTGACTCAAAATAAAAAATTTTAGAAAGGGCTGGGGATGTAGCTCAGTGGTAAAGGGCCCCTGAGTTCAATCCCTGGTACTGCAAAAACAAATAAAAATTCTTTTCTTCCTAGCATCTTTTCCCTGCTCACTCTGATCACTACTTAGTAGTTATTCCTTTCTGAAGTTACATATTTAATATATGCCATATAAAACCTCCCATTTTTCTTTACCCCTGTCATTACTTTACTATGACTGCCAAAATGCCCAGCTTGGGTCATACAGTTGAGACTTCCACAATAAGCCAGCCCCTTTCTGCCTTTTCTAGCCTCATCTTCCTGGAATCTATGCTCCCACCACACCAGCCTACTTGCTATTCCCAAGGTATGCATTTACTTCTCTGACCCCACACTTCTGTTCACACTATTCTCTATACTTCTCTTCTCTCCCCTGTGCTCCATCATCACTGAAATCCCATTCACTGGCTGAGGCCCTGCTCAAATGCCACCTCCTTTAAGGAACATTTTCTGATTCCTGTAAGATTACTCTGTTCTCTGTATTTTTTACAGCTTTTCACTAGTAGTTTATGTCTTCCTTTTGCTCTACAAATGTTTTGGGTTCTTGAAAACAAACTATCTTACTTGTGAATCTACTCTTCATGTTACCTAGCACAGTGCTTACATATAATAGGATTCAATAATTATTTACAGAATAAATGAAGATAAATTATCAGAATGTTCCAGATTCTTGGCAGGGATTACTGCTCTTTGTAATGCCAGAATCTAGTACACAGAGAGCAGTCAATAAATACGAATGACAGTTTAATGTAAAGTCAAATCACCCAAATCAAAAATCTTGAGGATCCTTTGGGTTTTAACATTAAATCTTTGCATTAAACAAAATAAAACAATGGTTAGCTAATCAGGCAGGCTACCAAATGGAGAGATGCCATACAACACTATTTTGGAGATACCCCTGGACCTCTCACCATCCATCGTCCCAAAGCAGCACAGAACTCAGGTGACCAGGGAAGGAAATAGTTATTATAAGTATTTTAGAAATATTCCCTGATTTGTATCATATGGTAWGTTACTCGAAGAGAAAGTTTCTATGAATTAAGACAGAAAACTCCTATGCATGAGGTAACGACAAATTCTACCACATTCTTTCCATGTAAATACTCTCTGATCCACTAAACTTTTGGAAAGAGAATAACCTAACCCAACTTTGTTTAAGACTCCCAACGAGTGTTTGCTTCACGTGTACAAGGCCCTGGGTTCAATCCCCAACACCACAAAAAAGCAAAAACAAAGAAAATACTCCAAAYGAAAGTCAGGCTACAAGCATTCTTTTAGAAGTGACACAAGTCCTGGTTGGGAGCTTTTTTKGGGGGGGTACTGGGAACTAAATCCAGGGGTATTTTACAACTGAGTTACATACCCTGACCCTTTTATTTTGAAACAAATCTCACTAGTTGTCCAGACTAACCTCAAACTTGTGATCCTCCTGCTTCAGCTTCCTGAGTAGCTGGGATTATACGTGAGTGCCACTGAGCTGGCTAACATCGTCCTTCTGAATGCTTCTACCTGGACCTAAGAGCACTATTCTAGAATAGCTTCAAGCCTACCTGCTAAATTTCCAGAAAAACAATTCCAGAAGAGGCCAGACTTTTAGAATAAGTGCAAACAAATACCTCCAGAAATTCAAAATAAGATTTTTCACTCTCCTGGAATGCACAAAAGGGAGTTTTCTTTGTCACTGACTCTTTCTCCCTTCTTTGGACAGGTCATTTAACTTTTGCCTCTTTCTTCCTGCCAGTGAATTTCAAGAAAAAATGGAACAAGAACTTTTTAAAAAAAWTTTTTTTAGTTGTCAATGGACCTTTATTTTTTAATTTTTAATTTTTTAAATTTTTAAATATTTTTATTTTTATTTATTTATATGCAGTGCTGAGAATCGAACCCAGTGCCTCACACATGCTAGGTAAGTGCTCTACCACAGAACTACAACCCACACCCCACAGGAACTTTTGTTTAGTGCTGCTAGTTGAGCTTAGGATGGCTGACACAAATCCTGTACTCCAGGACCAATCACAACCAATCTACCAAAAATAAATAAACAAACAAACAAACAAACAAATAAATAAATAAAAAGCCTACATCTATACTTTTACCTGTGAAGCAGTCAAGCTGGGAGAGGGTGCAGCTGGCTGCTGGGCGTGGTGGTGGTGGTACTGCTGTTGTTGCTGTAGTTGCTGTAGTGGCTGCTGCTGTGCTGTTTGTAGTTTGTTTTCAGATTGTGGCAATGGCTGTATTTGGAACTTGTCTGGTTGTTCTTGCTTTACTATCAGGTTCTTCCGTAGTTGTTCAACTACTCTTTTCTACCAAATGAAGACAAAAAAAATCTATCAGAATGCTGTTCTGTTAGCTGCATGGAAACACAGCAATTACATGCCTCTGACATCTTTTCCATACTAGTTTCATCTAAAACTTGTAACATCTATAATTAGATAGACTGTACAAACAAGGAGTTCAAAGAACATAAAAGTCATTATCATTAATATGAAACCAATGGTATAAGAAATGTTTTTTATAAAGGGAAATTAAGGCATGCAGATTTAAAAAACAGCTAAGAGATCATGTCGCAGAGATCAGATTTCTTGACTACTATTAGGTTAGCAAGTAAGACTGGAAGGGCTGACTAGCACAGCAGTAACAGCATGCCTCTGGAATCTTACTGCTTCAATTCAAAGTTCAGTTTATATTCTTATCAACCACACAGTGTTGGGCAAGTGTCTTAACCTACCTGTGCCTTAATGTCCTGGTATATAAAATGAGGAGACAGAAAGTACTTAACAAGCACAAGTGAGCTAATATACACAAAGTACTCAGAACTATGATTGGCACATTATTTTGCATCTGATATAAGAGATTTCAATCATAGTAATTTTTATTATTCAAATAAATATCATGTATCTATCCCAATTTGAAACATTAAACACATTTAAAACAAATAAACCATGATTCCAGTAGTATACAATATAAACATTAGACATTCTAAATTACTGAAATATGTAACTCTTGGGTAGAACTTCTTTGCTAGAACAGGATCTGTAGAAATCCATTTGGTTAGACAGTTTAGGGATTTGCCTACATGGAATGAAAATTTAAAATTAAAGTTTCTTGAATTTTCTAGACCTTGTTCAAACTTTTAAAAGTGTGTTTTGGGCTATCTTCATTACTATAATAATACATTTCTTTTTTTTTGCAGTGCAGGGGATTGAACCCAGGGTCTTGTATGTACATGCAAACACTCTGCCACTGAGCTATATCCCCAGGCCCTAGAGTCATACATTTCAATAGAACGAAGTTTATTCACAACCATACTCTACGCTGAGAACTATGCTGCTGAGTAAATGTCCACATCCTTTTCACAGTGTGTGTGAAGAAACAAGACTGAAGACGAGTAAATGGCTCAGAGACTATATGTTGTCCTAACCATATGAGGCCAGATTTGGGGTCTGGCTCCCTTGTCCCCATGGCTGGAAGAAAGGATAAACATCATTGCTCTCACACACTTTTAAGTGAGTTCACTAGCTCAGTGTACTATTTCTGAAAACAAAAGATTGTTATTTTCCAGTACAGATTATGAATGGAGATAAAGAAAGTGCTAGTTGAGCTCAGCAACAGAGGTTTAAAGGGTTAAATGAAACCAGAAGAGCCAGATTAATTTTCAAATTTCTACTATGGCTCCAACCAACTTCATCACCCACACACTTTAAAGAATTCAAACCTGCAGACTATTCACTTAACATATTCAAACATTAAAATATTTATAAAATGGATTTTTAAAAACTTTGAATCAATACAAAATATATTCTTGAGAGATTTTAAAATTTTCATTATTGATTCTCTTTAGACAATTAAAATGTCATATAAACGCCAATTTGGGGGGAGAAAAAAATTCTCCTATACTTATATTCTACTATCACTGCCTCTTTGAATAAATATCTTTTTTTTTAAATGCAGAGTCCAAAGTCTTTGCAAAAACCATCTGTGGAATAATTAAAATGCAAACTAATAAAATATTGAACACTTATAAAAATTAACTTGAGTCTTCAAAATTTTATTTTGCAAGTTTAAAATAAAAGGCAGAGAAATTGAACTGTTACAGTTTATAAGAATGAAAGTAATAGTAGCAGTGTTGCAGATGACTTTGAGCATCACAGGTAGATTTTATTGTGTGGACCCTGCTGTAACTTTTGGATGTTTACAAATGAAATAATAACTTAAAGTTGCTCTCAGTCCTCCTCCCCAGATCAGACATTGAACATTGGCAAGATAGCTAAAGTGCAGCATCAGCAGATAAAGGGGAGTCTAAGAATGCTTACAAAAACAGGAGAGAGAGACCAGGAGGAAATAATACAACACAAATGTGACACCTGCCAAAGAAACAAACAAAATGCCCTCTTGAATAAAAACAGCATAGGAAACAATAATTACTGTACCAGGCACAAAAGAACAGAGTGTTTTCCTCCTCTACAGCCATCCTTAGGAAACACAGTGTGCTCTCCTACTTACTGCCTAACTCAAGTGGACCAGAAGGAAGAGACAAAGCCCAAAACCTGCTCCCAGTTATACGCCACAGCAGGGAAGAGCCAGAGAGAGATGCAGGCTGGAGTACTCTTCAGCCATATGGCTAGAGCAAGGTGGCGACCAATCAGAACCAGAAGCAGAGAGTGGGAGTCAAGTGAGTCACACTGCATTTACAACTGTTCCTCCCCAGTGCCTGAAACAAAGCCCTAGACACTTGYACTTGTGAGTGGGGAGGAAACCCAAGATCCAATACCTGCAAACTTATATTGGTCCTTGAAAGAAGAGGGGAAAAAAATGAAGGTCAGAGCACATGGATTGGGAGAAATTTTCTGTAAAAGACGGCTGTAGTATTTGAAAGTTCTGCTCAGAAATGCATTGCCCCTCACTCCTTGCTGTGCTCACCAGAAGATCAGAAGACCACTACATGTATAGTCATGTCTGTAAATTTTTTTAAAAATCAAGGTTTGGGGGCAACACTGCTGCTTTCCATCACAGCCTGCAGTCAGGATAGGGGATGAGCTGGGCAGCAGAGGTGCTCTGTGGGCACAGGAGCCCTGTACATTCTTTCAGGGCTGGCTAGTAAAGAAGAGCTGCTGTGTATCAGAGCCAGCTTTTTAGAGTCCCACAGTCCTGTCTTGCTCTAGTTCAGTCTTGTGGCTCTGGCAAATACTACACTCACATCACTTCAGAGGGGCCTGGATCTAGTTCAGCACCAGTACTTGGTGGCAGCAAGAGAGAAGATAGTCACAATGGAAGTCTTGGCCACGTAGGATCAAGCACAGCTTCCAGTGCCTGCAGCTTTAAGGTGGCCTCTTGTCTCCATAGGCGAGTCTACACATTCATTACTGTGTTTGAAACAAAGAAATCATGGCTTTTGCTGGTCACTAATGAGGGTTATACTGGCATAAACAATTTACATTGCCAATGGTGTTCACATATGAGGGAGATCTTTAAATGTAGCTAATTATTTTAAAACATTATCTTACATCTTGGAAAAAAGGCTAAAATGCACAAATTGGCCATCCAACATTCACTAATTAAGTTAATAAGAGATAATAGCCAGGTGCAGTGATGCAGGCCTATAATCCCAGTGGCTAGGGAGGCTGAAGCAGGAGGATTATGGGTTCAAAGCCAGCTTCAGTGACTTAGAGAGGCCCCAAGCAACTCAGAGAGACCCTATCTCAAAATAAAAAAAGGGGATGGGGATGTAACTCAGTGGTTAAATGCCCCTGGGTTCAATTCCTGGTATCAAAAAAGAAAGAAAGGGGGAAAAAAAAAAGGCCAAAAAGAGTGATGGAAGAAGAAAGGGAGAAAAAGTTAATAACTCATCATCTTCTCTCCTTATTAATGTATTTTCTGTCAATAACAGGACAATATGGCAGGCCTGGAGGTGGCGAGTATGGCCCCCTTCAATCCTGTCATAAACCCATGATACCAAGCCACAGTTTCCCTTGACATTCGCACCATCGGGTTTCATCAGGGCTTGTTCAGGCAGAAGAGTTCATGAGCCTCTGACACTTGTAGTCAGTTTCCAAGACAGGTAGTCATGGTGATCAATATTGTGACATTCATGTGATACTATCAACATGTTCACATGACAGCAAGAAAGATCCTGAAGAAAAATACGAAATTTTATAGATCCAATACAACAGAATACTGGATTTGTTTCTATTATCTAAGTCAATCATTCCAAGTTTAATGGCACTGGTCACAAGAGAAGGAGATGGAGAAACAGAATGACAGTCCCACCTCTCCCTGCAATTGAGCCAACAGTTTATGTTCACCAGCAAATTTGCATACAAGTTTCAGAATATTTCTCCTAAAAGGAACTCTAGGCATAAGGCCCTTTCTCTTCCTCCCTGGCTGGATGTCACTGTTTTTGCACGCCATGCTCTATGCAGCATTATCAGTTTTTGTTTTCTTTTATTTGTGGTTCTGGGGTCTGAACCTAGGGGTACTTTACGACTGAGCTACATCCCCAGCACTTTTTATTTACTTGTGAGATAGGGTCTCACTAGATTGCCAAAGCTGGCCTGGAACTTGTGATCCTTTTGCCTCAGCCTCCCAAGCTGCGTCACCACTCCTGACACATTATCTGTTTTGCATCAATTATAAGGGCCACTCCTACTCAAGACATCTTCTTATGCAGTTCTGCATAAGAAGATGTCTTGAGTTACGTGTGGCCCCCAGTACTGCCTTAACAGTTCATCCTTCTCTGTCCATGAATCAACACACAATCTGAAAATACGAGCTTCACCTTTCATACCAGAGCGTGACAGCAACCTGTAATTTTTCACAAATTCACAAAGTAAAGAACAATTCTTATCTTCATACCTAAAATGCAGTGGGAAATACTTCGAGGTCTTCAGACTCACCAATTGCTCAAAATGAAACTAGGGATACTAAATTTTATTGGTGCAGAAAAAAACTAATAAGGAGAAATTTTTATTTGTTGATAATATCAGAATTCCTCAAATGGGGCTGGGGAAGTAGCTCAGCAGTAGAGCACTTGCCTAGATGCTTGCAGCCCCATGTTCAACCCCAGCACTGCAAAAACAAAGGGAATTTCTCAGAGGAGGAAAAAAAGTCTTTCTACTGTACAATTGAAACCCAACCACTACAATATTTATAAATAACACCAATATTCATCAAATCTGAGGAAGCAGGAAGGAGATACAATGGTCTTCAGGACGTTCCACACAATTATSCCCTTGGGAATAGTGTGTGCATTACTGACATAATGTTAGTGACAGTATTACAATCCAGAGCAAATGCATGTGTTTAA